TTTTTTTTTTTTTTTTTTGCTGTTGGTTTGGATTTGAAAGGTGATATCTTGGATCTGAAGCCTCTGATACCAATTGATGTAGAACAGGTAGCAAAGGTGAGGATAGGACTTAGAAACAGAGGCAAGGGTGGGAAGAGAATACCAGAATTAGGAATTTTCAGAAGATAATTTAATACAACTTATGCTTAAATATAAAAGCTAAGAAACTCAAATTAGACTTACTTCCTAATTAGACTCCCAATTAAATCTTTATTGAAAAATAATAAAAGATCCTAATAAATATAAACTACTAATAATATTTCCTTTTAATTCCTGTATATTCATAATCATAATAAAATCCTAATAAATATATTATTTCCTTCCTTACCTGCACCAAGTAGGATCAAGGTAAAGTTAAACCTCTTCATTGTGTGGGAAGGACTGGGTGGTGGGACCACCAGAGGATCCAGCAGCATCATTAGTTCCTTCTTGCATGCCAAGAGGGTCATGATGAGGCTCTGTAGGAAAGATAGTAGGGGCATTTGCCTGTGGGCAGGATCCAAACTGTGTAAGAGCTGCTAGAACAGAACTCTGAAGAGCATTAATAGTATCCTCCATCCGCTGCATCCGCTCTTGCATCTCTGGCATAATTTGGTTCAGCATCATAGAAATACCTACCCCGGTGTAGCAGCCTACACTCACGGGAACCACCTGGGAGCCAATTCCTGACATGACCACTGTCGTCCATGAAGGAACATCAAATTCTGGCAACTGTGTCTGGTCCGGTCCATGGCTAGATGGGCACTTAGGAACATAAGTATCCTGTGCATATTTTAAAAGACATTTACCATGTACTACGTAACAATGTGATACCGGAAAAAGTTGATGCCAACAACATTTGAACACAACAGACTCCTTTCACCTATCACTCCATTTACTTCTCATTTGTTACCATTATACCAAATATGAACAGCAACACACTTGGATTTCTATTAATGCATTATATATATATATATTTCAATATACTTACCTGTTGCTTTCACACAGGAAGGTTAATCCATTTGGGCTCCTCAATCTGTTGTGCCACTCTCCAACTGCTATGGCCTAGGAGGACAGATTGACATGCAGTCTGGGGAGCATTAGCCATAAGCTCACTAGGTTGAGAACCACCAATCGGGATATGAGGTAGAGTATAATTGTCAGCAGTTGTAGGTATTTTGCCCTTTCGAGCTTTGGCCAGTTCTTCCTCTCTCTTCCTCTTTAACTCCCTTGTTGGTGCCTCAAATGGGGTGCCCATTCCTGTTAGATTCATAAGAAAAGACTTAGCCCACTACAATTAATTAAGACAGCAACCATAAGGATAGAAATTGACCTATTTACTTAAAAATCTTGATTTGGGACAAAGGTCATGGGTTCAAACCACTGTAAAACCAAATTACTAACTCCAAATATACCCCAAAAACGTAATTAAGACACAGCAAACTTAGCACTAAAATAACTCACCACCTCCAGTGGCAGTAGAATCCATGGCACCAGCAGTCAATGGTGTAGCCCATGTAGTGCTGGACTGCAATTCTCCGTCACAATATCCTGCAGGTTAAAGAAAAAGTTAAAACACTAATATTCCATAATTAGAAGAATGTCAAAAATACTATAATAATGCAGCAAAATATCATACCACGTACCAAATTTCCTACCAACATTTCAATGTTTGCGTTTGTTCCATCCTTCTGAAATTTAAGAGAGAGAGTTGAACAGATTCAGATAAAGAGCAGGAGAAGGAAAACATGCTTTTAAAAACATGCACATAATAATAATGTGTGGCTTGTGGGCAGAATAAGGGCCCATTTGTGGGTATAAAGGACTATGATGTGACAAATATATTATATAAAGGAAATATTGTTGTGCAGTCCAATGAAACCATTGGATGAACCAGGAAGGCCCCCAATACCGTTGGAAGAGGGGTGGGCCCAAGCGGCCCTCCCCCCATCCAACCATTCTGTTTGGCAATTTGGATTGCAAAACAAGGGACCTGTATATTAAAACCCCAAAAGAAAAGGTGCATGGTTGTTGACGACCACTTAAAGGATTAAGTGTGAAAATATAAAAAAGAAGGAGTCGTCACTCGTTTAAATTATAAGATGAGACAAGTCACTTAAAATAAGTCTGCACAGAGATCGAAGTTCGGGAGTTTGATTAGGAGTGAAGAAGGGCATATGCGCACTTCACAATCCTTCGTTTAAACATGGTTGCATACTTTAAAATTGGGGTTTTAATTCAATTTATTTATTTATTATATTTGTATTTAGGTCTTAACAAGCAAGGTTGAAAAAGAGAAACCAAATTGAAACATTTTAAAATTTTTGGATTAAAATGGACTAAATCAAAGACATGCATGCACAATAACACAAACAAGAAGTTAAGGGACTAACTTGATTAAATTCGAAAGATGGAGGACTGATTTGAAAAGAGTTGAAATATATGGACTAAATAGTTTAATTATAAAAGTTTTGGATGAAATTAAAATGAGAAAAGATTATTTTGACTTTGACTAACATTAGCAGAAATTAAAGATTTAAATTAATTAATATGATAATTAACTTAATTAAATAATTAATTTAACATTAATTAAAATTAATTAAAATTAATTAATTACATTATTAATCTTTAATCAAGATAAAACGATATAATTATTTTAAATTAAGATTAATAAATATGATTAATTTATTTTAATTAAAATTAATTAATATTAATAATCATAAATTAAGTCAGTTATCTTAATTAATTAATTCATTTTATTTATATTATGTATTTTTTTACTGGATCGGGTTCGATCGACTCGAACGAAAAACACAACCCGAACATAAAATAACCAAAAAAAAAAGATCAAACATGCAAACAACGTAGGAAACTAGGGTTCATCATGAATACATCTCATTTCCAGCAAAAGATAAACAGATTCATCAGGCAAATAAACAGGCAAAGCTATGATCTTTCATTCATTTCTCAAGAAACACATACAACCTTGAACATTAAATGGAAAATACAAAAAAGAAATCAACAACAAAGCATCACACCCACAGCAGAGTTTTATTAGGAAAAGTAGATTCAGATCTGATGAGAGGGATCCCACCCACGGTACCAGGCTCCCATCGTCCCCTTCACCACCGTTCCCAGAAAACTCCTCAGTTAAGATAAACCCAAATCTCCTCCAAACCACTGGCTCCCTCTAGCAGAACTCCTCTCCTTTCTACCGTCGTTCTCAATACCCAACTCAAAATAAAAGAAAAACCTCTCCCTGTTTCTAACCTAAAACCCTCTATTTATACCCAAACAAAGAAACCCTAAAAGGAATATTCTAGAAATCAACTCTTCGGGCCTTTTGGATCCAAGATTTTTGGGCTTTTCAAATCGGTTTCTTCTTTACCAGAATCTGCAACATGCATAGGCCTTTCTGATCTTTACCCTTTTTACAAAAATCTGCAAAATGCATTTGGGCCTTCAATCTACGCCGACGTCAGCTTTTTATCACCGGCTCGTGATCTGTAGTAGCACAGATCTGCAGATCTAGTCCAGCCACAGGGAGATCGAAATCTCACCGAGTCGCCGGAGCTTCGCGTGCACATCACCTCCGTCACCGATCAATAGACCCACCTCTCCCTTTTCCAATTCCGGTGCTTACTCGTCGGCATGGATCTCATTTGTCTATGAAAATGCTTCGGGTGAGTGGATGCGAGATGGAATAGGGGGCAAAGATGGAGGAATCGAGGGCTGAGGATAGAGATTCATGGATTTGGGGGCCACGGGAGAGATGATGGTAACCGGAAAACTCGTCGGCGTCGACGGATCTAGAGAAAACTGAGCCTGCATGGAGGATGGAAGAGACGGTGAAATAGAGAAGAGAAAAAGCTCGGGTGACAGGATTTGGTAGCCATGACGCTCAAACGAAATAGAAAGAGTAGCCGGCCACTTAAGGAGGAGATATAGCTGCCGGCTGTGTTTGAGGGAGAGGAAATCCATGGAGAAGCAGAGGGTCTATGAGGAAGAACAGGGATCCGAGGGACGATGGAGGTGTGATGGATCGATGAGAGGTTGTGTTGGGGCATGGGAAGCTCCATCGTCGACGGATCGAGGCTAGGTGGCTGCTGGCTGCTAGCAGAAGGATGAGGGTTTCGGCAAAGAGAGAGAAGGGTACTGAAGGTTGACCGAAAATGAGGAAGGTTCGGGAGAGAAGGACTTTTAATTCTCTT